AGAGGTCTGGCTGCAGGCATGAGTAGAAGACAGATGCTCCAGCTGCTTCTAACGCCTGCACTGGACCAATGATCTGGCGAGGTGAGTGGACAAACCAAGACCAGAGAGGACAGTACAGACCCTGCAGGATGCACAGAGGGTGTGCCGTGTGGGGTTACATGCATGAGGCACTTGGAGGGGTTAGCTACGCCTGACCACTGGGCACACCCTGTGGCAGAGGGCAGGCGCGAAGTGAAGAGAGCACAGAGGAGTGGCAGGTTGCCACCGGCACTCCAATGGGCCAGCCAGTAAAAAGGGAACCTGCAGACCAGGGCACACAGCAAGGTGACAGTAAGGGACCACAGAGGACCACGCAGGGGAGAGGGGGCCTGAGACAGGAAGCTGAGAGTCACCAGGGAGGACAGGAGTGTCCCAGCAGGAGAGCAGAGCCAGGCCCCAGCATGGCTACCTGTTCTCTTCACTTAGCAGTCACGAGTCGCTAACACAGTGAGCATTCATCTCAGGACCTAAGTGACCAGCATCTATTTCAGCAGAGACCAAGATCTTCAAGGGGAGGTCAGCAGCCCCGTGACTCTCTCAGCATAGAGCCCCAAGAGAACAGTGGTGATGGCATGGGTTCCCTCCCTCCATGCTACCTCACCAGCCAGCTTGCCTCTACCCCTGGCCTCTGCATCCACACAGCCAGCCCAGGGGGCCTCCTGGACAGACTCTGCCAAGGCTTCAGAACAGCCCACATGGCTTCTCTACCCCCCAAACAACTCCCCTGGCCCCCAGCTCAGGTGCAGCGGTCAGGGAGGAGTCCCACCCTCCCTCTGCCCCACACCTCGGGCTTCCCAGGGTCTTCAAAAGCTCTCAAGGCTCGTGTGCACTTGCTCGGCCTATCTTGTCACATCCTCCCAGGGTCTGCCCCCAGCCTTCCAACAGCTGCCGTAGGAACACGCAGGTGAGGATGTCGGCACCAGTGCCAGGCAGTGCTGAGCCATGACCAGCTCTGTTGCCCACTGGCCACTCTGGGCCTCGTTTAGTCCTGCCTTAATGTGGCCCACCCATCATAGAGAACCAAGTATTAGAAAAGTCCTTTTTCTCCAACCTCAAAATCTGCTTAAAATAATAACACTTAAAAAACAAAACAGGGGCTGGGGATTTAGCTCAGTGGCAAAGCGCCTGCCTGGCAAGCGCAAGGTCGTGAGTTCGGTTCCTGGTACCGGAGAAAAACCAAACAAAACAAAACAAAACAAAACAAAACAAAACAAAAACCAACCCAGCAGCCAGCAGGGAAACCGAACTTGTATGCCCGTCTCTATCAAGGCCTGCCCTGCCAGTGGACACAGACAGCAGAAGAGGCAAGCAGGGGACTCAGCAGCATCAGCTCTGTTCCATCAACTGTCCCACAACGGTAGAGGGACAAGGAAGAGGAGAGGTGGAGACCAGGGCACAGCTCTCTAGGAGGGAAAGGGCCACAGCTGTGCCTGAGAGGCAAGCAGGTTCTGGAAGGCAGGAAGGCAGTGCCAAACTGCTTCAGACCAGAGCACTTGGTGCTCTGAAGATCGGCCAGCTTCCAGCCTACAAGAGGAAGGGGGTTAGGATTTTTACTCAGTGCCTAGTAAGAGGGCAAGAAAAGACCGGGTTTCTTAGTGTAACAGCTTCCAAGGAGGCAGCTCTACTTTGTACACCAGAAGTTAAGACCTGGTCTATGGCCACTGCCTAGGGTATCACACAGCTGCAACCAAGCTCAACATGCATGTCTCTGAAGTCACCCACACACTTTGTGGTTACCAGCATTTCTCACACTTGAGAACACATGATCCTCCCAAATCCAGCCAAGACCCGGTTTGGAAAACTGCACTATCAGTTCTAACTCTAGCACGTGCTTGGCACATGAACATTCTGTGTCAAGTACACATCCAGGCCATGTAACTGCAGGACAGTATGTGGCCAGCCAGACTGTCAGCAGATGGAAGGCAGAAAACCTCAATACTCAAGAGTAAACTACACTCTCAGCCCATCTTCAGTGAGGACAGGACAGCATCTCCAACCAGGGTTTGAAAAGACAGTGTCCACAGCCAGGGCTCCCAGGGGCAACTGCCAGGCCCTCCCCTGGGTCAGACAGATGTGTACCTGATCTGCATAGTGATGGGAATGGGAGAGAAGGGGAACAAGGGAGAAGGGCAAAAGGGGAGAGGGGGAGGGGAGAGGAAAGGAGAGGATTCCCGTGCAGTAGAATTATTTGGAGGAAAAAACTCAAATTACTTTCATAACCAGCAAAAACTTCCTGAAAAATAAACAAGGACTTCCAGAGGGCCATCACCTACAACCTGACACTAGAGAGCCTTCAACAGCAAAACAACTCCCCTGCAACTCCAGCCCAGACGTTCTCTGCCCCTACATACCTGGCCACATCAGCTTGGCATCAGGTAAGCAAGGGCTGCTCAGCATCCTGTATGCACGGCCCGCACAGCAGGAGTCACATATCCAAACGCTCCCAAGACCACAGTGGCTGCTCCCCTAACCACTGCGGTGGCAATGGAAGTGAAAGTAGACCAGCAACCGCATCCCATGCTGCTCTATTCCCTTCCCATTTTACCAGGAACATGAAGGTATCCAGGACCCACTGCCAGTGGGAGGCTGAAGCTACAGCAGCTTGAACCCACGTAAGGGCTCCTGCCCCTGAGAGTCTGAAAAGGGAACACAGTTTAATTCTCACCAGATGAAGATTTAGTCCAGTGCTTGCCAGCTCCCATCAGCCTGTATGAGCACATGCCCTTCACTACAGGGGCCCAGCACCCAGCACCCTACCCTCACACCCTCCCAACTCTACACTGTGTCTCCATACTGACTGCACCTGCACTCAACTCTCTTCATACCTGTCAACAGTACAGCTCTGGAGCCATCAGCACGGCGCACATAATTTCATTCTATGTTAACAAACACTTCTAACTCTAGGACCCCTAGTGCCCCAGTTAAAACCTCCCTATCATCTACCAGAAATCACTCCTGACAACAGCAAAAACATATAAACTCAGCACTGATACACTGTCAGCAGAACAGAGAAATCATTACAGGGATGAAATCCAAAGGACCTGGAAGGGAAATGCTACTACTGTAGTTTCTGGGGAAAATAGCATCTCTACTTGCAAAAATTGTGCTATAATACCCATTTTTTAACACTTATTTGTTTATTTATTTAGTAGTACTGGGGGTTGAATACAGGGCCTTTGCACTGAGCTACAGCCCCAGCCCCTTTTTACTGAAGCAGGGTCTCACTAAGCGACTAAGTTGCCCAGGCTACATTCAAACTTTTTTTTTGGTCTTTCTGAGAAAGGGTTTCGCTATGCAGTTTAGACTGGCCTTGAACTTGCACCAATCCTCCTGCCTCAGCCTCCTGAGTGCTGGCAGCTGGGATTTAAGTTCAAACTTTTGATCCTCCTGCCTCACCCTCCCAGAGTGTAGGATTACAGACATACACCACCATGCCTAGCTTTTTAATATCATCGTTAGAAAAATACAAAAAAAATTTTTTTAAACTATGACAAGCTTGCCTGAAACCACAGCACAGCCCTGCTCTACCTGCCTAAGTAGGTGCACGCCCATTTTAATCAGAGGCTACGCAACAGTGTTGGAATGCAAAGCACATTTACAGTCATAAGGAAAGAGGACTCAAGAAGCCTTTCCTGACTGCACATTTCCTTTTCCACTGCGTTCAATGGGCACTTTCCTGCCTGGTGGTTCTTACCAGCCAAACCAAAACGATAGTGACAAACTGACACAGTTCTGAAGGTGTTGGTAATCTACCAAGGACTCTCAGTTAAGTAAAAACCAACAACCTACATCCTGAAGGGGTCTGCAAAGAGATCTGGTGATGCCAAAGAAGGCCCCCATCCTCTTTATCAAATCAAGTGCAGGATACTAAACTGCCATGAAACACAGCTGCTGCCCACTAAGGAGGAAGAACAGTGCCTCCTCTCTGCTTCCCTGTGGAGGCCAACCTCACCAAGGCAATCAGATACCAGCAGTGAGGAGGCTACTGCCAGTCCATCTTGAGCAATATGTTGTGGTCACTCATTTCGCCCCAGGGGGGAAGGGTGCTACAAGAACTTCTGACAAGACAGCATCAAAGTTAAGCTGGAGTGGGGCCCAGAGGGCTCAGGGCCGTGCTCTAGGGCAGCTAGCTAAACTGCTCTGAGGCTGAGGACAGACACTGGCCATGGCCCTGCATCCACCACCATTCGTCATCACGGAGATGGACGGCGTCATCAGGTGTTCTGGCTGGAAAGAATCTACCTGGCACTCTGGGAAGTGACTGCAGAATCCCAAAGCTCAGCCGGCTCTCCTAGGGACGTCCGACCTTGATCTCCGATGGGATTTCCTATCTAGAGCCTATCAAGCACCATTAAATCCTCTAGTCATTACAGAGCCCGCAGCAGCCTCCAGAGCCCGCACCAGCCTCCTGCCCCAGGCACTGGCTTATTCGCCCAATGGAAGAGACCACCCAAGGTCACGCCCCTGGCACCCTGGCAGGCGCTGCCCAGGAAGTGCGGGGAGCCTAGCAAGATGGGTTGTTCCCAGGGCCTGGGGCTCCTCTCCGTCTCCTAAGTAATACCCAGAGGCCAGCTCGCCACGCCCAGCTGGAGCTTCCGGAAAGTGGCCGGACGCTGCCGCGACCCACGCCCGCAAAGCCGGCCCTAACTAGCAGTGGCCCCCGACCCAGCCACCACCTGAAGACTGAGGGCCGCCTCAAGCCGCGCCGCTCGGCGTCCAGCGCCCCTGGCCCCGCGTCCCCGAGGTCCCCGTAAACCTACCTACCAGGCCTGGCCCCGAGACCCTGGCCCCGCTGGCCCCCGCCCCTCGGCCTCCGCCCGGCCCCGACCCCGGCCCCACCGCCCCTTGTGGACCCCGCCCCCAACCCCACCACACTGGCTGCACTCAGGCTCCGCCCCCCGGAATCCCTTTGGCTCGGGCAGGAAGCGCGGCGGTGACCCGGGCCGCACCGCAGCGCGCACCTTGAGGGTCGGGTACTCCTGCACCTTCAGGGTCATGGACAGCTGGGCAGCCGACTCTTGCACCGCCATCTTGGGCCGCCCCGGCGGAGGAGGCCGGCGCGCGGCACGCCGGGTAGTGACGTTGAGGGCGGGGTGAGAGGGGTGTGTCGCACATCTGTACCAATCGCGTCGCCCAGTCTCCCGGCCGCGGAAGAAGGTGCGGACCAATCACCGCCGGCCTTCAGCAGACTCGGCCAATCGTCGAGTTCTGGAGGTCGGCTTCCTTGGAGTGCCCCGCGGGCTAGTGGGCTGCGCTCTGGGAGCCCCGAGCCAGCTCGAGGCCCACCGAGCGGCGCTGCAGTCCGCGGGGGCAGTCACGACCTGGGGCCGTCACCCCTCCTGGAGTCACTTACCGTGGCGGTCACTCGGAGGTCACATTCGTAGCCATCACCTCTTGTGGCGGTCGCCCCTGCTGGTGGGCACTTTCTTGGTGGCCACCACACGTGACTTTCTCCTCCTAGCGGCCACCCCTCCTGGCACTGACCTTTCGAGGCTGCGGTCTCTCCAGGCGACGCTGTCCCTGACCATGCGTGCATCAAGGGACAACTTTGCGTTCGCGGGTGACAGGCTGCTGGAGTCTTGGGAGGAACCCTCCATTCCCTGTTGGAAGAGTAGAGCCTCCGCGCCGGAGGCCGACTTGCACGCGGGAGTCCCAGCGCGAGAGGGGCTGTGCTCGCTGGCCTTGTCACCAGTGTCCTGTCTTGTTTCCTCGTTCCACCGGTCTTTCCCGCTCCCTTTAAAAAATAATGAAATTAAGTTTCATTGACTAGAAATGACTTCCTCGTTAAACCATCTTTCGTTTCTTCACAGAACACACTTTAAAGCGATGTTTCAACATGAGGTGGTGTCAGATGAAACCCAGGAGTTCCTTCCACCACGCTGGGCGGATAACGCCATGCGAGCGGCAGGGTTGAGGCGTGCAGGAGTCCACACACGTGTGGCTGCAGACTTCAGTCACAATGCATTTTCTCCCAGGGTTGTGCCTCCGTGGAGCAGCTCACTGGTCCAGACTGCCCAGGTCACCTCATTGGTTTAATCTAGGGTGTGGTGCGAAGGGTCTCACAGAGATGTGTGAAGCCACTCCAGCACTCCAGAAACCCCCAGGGCCTCAGGAGCTGGACCTGAGCCCAGGACAAGGACCCACTCTTCAGCTTCCCCACCTCTGGGTTCAAACTTCTGAAACTTTAGGACCCAAAAAGTCTGAGTGGTCCAATATCAGCGGCTGTCCATCCGGGTCAGGGCACCAGAGAGGAGGGCCAAGCAGCCCCATGAGGGTGTTTCCTGTGAGGGTCACCTTCTAGAGGACCTTCCTGACTCATCTCAGCCTGGGAGACCAACTATCAGAGACAGCCCTGATAGGGACTCTACACCACCAGCCCTGCTTCTATCTCTCAGAGCACTTGGTACTTTGAGGCCCCCTCATCAGTGCCACTAAGCAAGGGACATCACAGAAGCCAACACTGTAGTCCTGGGAGAGGAGAACAAGCTTTGCTGTCCCACTGGAGAGGAGGCTGGGAGCTTTGACCTCCAACCTGCACTGGGAGAGGGGCCTGCAGTCACTGGATGCAAGGGAGCGTCAGGGCTCTGCAGGTGGGGACAGTCCGCGTGCAGCCTCGCGGGCCATGAGCTTCTCTTCACAGGGAGTGCTTTTCTGCTCTGGAGATTTGGAGCCCTTGATGTCAAAAGGTCATGGACCGGGCAGACTGCATAGTCTTGCATAGTCTTTCTGGAAAAGCCAGTTTCAACCATCGGAGTGGATTCTCGGAAAGCAGCTTAAGCTCTCTGTTATTTGAGGAATTTATGTCCCAGTGAGTCCAGAATGTGGTGATCACAACAGTTGGTTAGAAGGGACCACTCTGATCCTTGCCATGGGGTGCCCTGCGTAGTCTCCCCTGCTGGAGGGATCTGAGAGCTAGAAATGCCTTGTGGTTTACATCTCACAAGAGGAGGCTGACATTTGCCAGTTCTGTTTAACAGTGTAATACTTGAATAAAATGTGTCACATCAGATAAGACTACACATATAAGTGGTTTATTGGCCAAAAATAGCATGATTTGATTTTCCCTTAAAATTATTTAGTAACAAAACCTATAATTAGTTTCTATGATTAGCAAGGGACTAAATCCACCCAAACCACATAATTGTTATTTTCTTAACATCTACTTACAAATGTTTCCTAGGAAACGGCCTTTGGGGTGGCTTGAGACCGGAGGCCAGAGGCCCTGCCTGGACAGCAGACACTCGGGGTGGCCACAGGGTTCTGAGGGTGTTCTGCAAGGATGGGCCTGGGTCTGAGCTCCTTACTGTGCAGAGTTTACAGACGTTCCTTCTGGAAGGTGGTGTAGGCCAAAATGAAAGGCTGGGCTCAGGACAAGGTGAAGGGTCCTGAATCCTGAAAGTCTGCTCTGATGGGGACAGAAGCACTAGAGGTGCAGCCGGTTGGGCCTTCAGGCAGACCAGTCCAGGAGATACATACAGGATGCCCCCCGGAAGAGGCAAAGGCTGTGGTGGGAGACTGGCAGGGTCACCCACCCTGTGGTTTCCTTGGCTATAGGTTTTGGGAAGGAGAATGTGACTAGATAACAGCCTGAGCCCACTGGTTCATTCAGGTTTTCTTCTTACATGCGGGCCAAGTTGGTGGATTCACCTGTTTTCCTACCTGTCAGCATTGACCCCAGCAGATAACTAGAAAGGATGCTCACAAAATAGTTACTAAAACTGCACATCCACAAGGTCATGATGAAAACCTTGCAAAGGGCAGATGAATGCAGGTGACATCCCTGATGGCAATGCTTCACCTAGAGGGTAACAAGGCGTCTCCACAGGAAGCAGAAAATTCCTCTCTCCAGGGTCAAAGAGCAGGCAGACCGTGCTGCAGTCTCCAAGAGCAGCAGTGACAAAACAGTTCCTGGCCAGAGCTGCAAGGACACTGTGTGCTGTGTCTCAGGAGGGCCCATAGCATGAGGAATAAATACAGACCAAGGCACGCCACAAAAGACTGGTAGGCTGGGGTGTGTTAGGGGCAGGACATGTGTCCCGCAGGAGCCAGGTACTGGGTTCATGCCCCAGCAACACAGACAGGAAGGAAGGAAGGGAGGAAGGAGAGAGAGAGAAGAAAGGAAAGGACCATCACAACAAAAAAGCAAGCAGAAAAAAAAAAAAAAAGACATAATGAGAAATTACAAGGTTAGAGAATTTTAAGATGATAGAAGCATATACATATATATATATATGTATATAATGATTGTTTAGAAGGTAAAATGGATAATCCCACCAGCTGACCTGATTTTTAAGAAAACTGTCCCATTGTTACAGGGACCACAGAGCTCTGTTCTGAGTCATGCCAGGAGATGCAGTGGGCCAGAGGCCCCGTGCACCTGCCTGCTGGCAGCTCTCTGGTAGAGGGAAGCCAGCCTGCAGGTTTTATATGGCTGCTCCCTACATCCACACCTTTCCAAGGGGCGGGCGAAGGAGCAGGTGGTCCTATCTTGTCAGTCTGCAGCTAACCAGAATGATGGTGTCACCGCTTCTGTTCTATATGAAGGTGTTGCTGGAAGCTGGGAATGATGACATCTGTAGTTCCAGCTACTTAGGAGACTGAGGCAGGAGGGTCACTGGAGTACAGTTTATACCAGCTTGGGCAATAGTTAGACCCTGTCTCAAAAATTAATAAATACATACATAAATCCATGTTTAAAATGGTTTATTATTTTGTTTTTACATAGGAATATTGTTTATACATGGCAGACTTCCTAGAACATGTCACCATCCCCACCATCTGCATCTGCTCTAAACCTCAGTCCTACAAGCAGCTGAGGGTTCTTTTGCTTGACTCAGATAGAAATCATGAATTGGCAAAGTGCAGCTTTGAGAAGTGCCATTGGTCCCCAGTCTGAGCTCTTCAGGGCTAACAGCTCCTAGAGGTTATTGATCTTTTGTTTAAAACAATAACTCTGTCCATGCTTCTCAAGACAAGAATCCCAAGTAGATTTACAGGACTTTCTGAGGGCATGCCACCTGAAAAATAAATCACAAGAGGTTTACAGGCCCACTGGAGCAAGTCCTTCCTTGAACAGAAACTGTGCCACACCACTGGGGAAGTCACAACACCAGAGGGAGCCCTTGGAGCCCAACCAGAAGTATGAGTAGTGTTGCTTATACAGCAGCTGCAGGCCTGCAGTTGGTCCAAGTGCAGCCCTGTGATTGGTCCAAATTCAACTCTGCTTCTTAAACTTGAGCCTGCTGTAGATAGGGCAGATATCTTGAGGGAGGGGATTAGGACAGTTGTTTGATTGACAGCAGTCGTGCCTCCAGGACAAATGGCAGGGCTGAAACCAGAGACTCCTATGGGACCTGGCAGTGTTCATCACAGCTCACTGGGGCTGGGTTAGGGGATGTTAATAGCAGGCCCAGATCCCTCCCTGGTCTCTGCCACATTAGGGGTGGCGACCCCCTTCCTCAGTGTCTGGAGTGTTATGAGTAGGGAAGGTACAGCACAGCCACCAGCCAAGCCTGCTACCAGAGTGGCCACCAAGTAACCTGGGAGGATACCGAGGTGTGCTCTCCCTGGCCATCTCTGGGTGGGTCTGAGCAGCAGGGAAGGGAAATCTGATCTTCTGCTTTTCAAAGTAGACAAGGACAAGCTATCCCCCTGCTGGGTATTTTCCCAGAAGATCTAAAAACATCATATCACAGTGATATATGTGCACTTATGTTCACAGCAGCACAATTTGTAATTGCTAAATTGTGGAAGCAACCCAAATGTCCATCCACTGAGGATTGGATAAGAAAATTATGGTACTTTTATATAATGGAATATTACTCAGCTATAAAGAAAGATAAACACGAGGCTTTTATAGGTAAATGGTCACAGCTAGAGACCATACTCATAAGTGAAATAAATCAGACATACATGTGCAAGCATCGCATTGTTTCAGGAGTGTAAAACCTGAAAGAGTTCATTTAAACTAGGAGGTATGATAGACATTGTGAAATGATAGGAAAACACTCAAGGGTAAAGGGCAATTGGGATGTGGGAAAAGAGAAGGGAAAGAAGGAGAAATTTTGTA